AAGCACTGACATTTGATAACGAATTCCTTAAATAATGAATACAACCAGCATACCCCGGAATATAAGAAGACTATATAAGAATGGTCTTATAACTCTGGCACTCCGATTTGCTTGGGGGAGACAGACGTGGGATGATGGGCACAGTTGAGGGTTGTCATAAAAAGGACGAAGGCAAGGATAGATACGAACATGTTAAAATCTGCAAAATATACGTCCTCTTAGTAAAAAATTAGACTTATTGGGGGCGCCTGGGTGGCTCAGTCGGTTAAGCATCCTGGTGGCAGCCTGGGCCTTTAGAAACACATCTCAGGATCCTTTCCTGGAGGAATGTACCTGTTGGCACATTTAAAAATGGTCATCGCTGCAGAAGTCTGTGGATGGCCAAGGCTAGCAGCAGCGAGAGGCTTAGGAGAGGATTCTGCACTCCACAGGGTGGGATGCTGAGAGACCCCGGCATCTAGAAGGCCAGAGTGTTCGCAACAATGAAGCAAAAGCTGTGGACCAGCCCCTCACCTGGTTTTCTGTCAACAGGATTCTTACATAATTCTGTGAGAAGCGGGAGAGGTCCTCCCCTGGCCGAGATCACCAGACTCATTTAGGGAGCAGACTGGGTGAGATTCAAAGTGATCCACCTGACTGAGAAGAGAGAGATGTCAAGTTTCTCATATTTGAGGGTTGAGGAGTAAGTGTCTCATTTGCCATCTAGAAGAGGAGGAAAGCCTTTCTTTTTTCCTGAGACTGAAAGATGGGGCTTAAGGGTGGGGGTGATGGAAATGTAGGCTCAGAGGTTGAAATCTTAGCGTAAAGAAACTTCAGGGGCGCCTGGGGGGCTCTGTCGGTTAAGCGTCCGCCTTCGGCTCAGGACACGATCTCACGCTTCGTGGGTTCAAGCCCCGCGCCCAGCTCTGTGCTGACAGCTGGGAGCCTGGAGCCTACTTTTGGATTCTGCTTTTGGTCTCCCTCTCTCTGCCTCTCCCCTGCTCGCACTGTCTCTCTCTGTCAACAATAAGTAAACACACAAAAAAAATTAAAAAAAACCTTCAGATCCGGTAGAAGTGTGTCTGAGGGAAGCTAACGGGACGTGAGGGCCCATTTGTAACATCAGCAGGAGGTGAACTTGTGTCAGCCTTCAGGAGGCTCTGCAAAAATGCCTGTTGGGAGGAAGAAATGGATCCCGCTCCTCCCCACACCCTTCCCTCGGCTCCCAGAGGATGCACCTGATGACTGCTTTGTGGTGAAAACATAATTACATTTGTTTATTTATTTCTAGTCTTCACAACCAGTGAGACTGGTTTTGATCTCCGGCCCCCTTGCTGAATGAAATCGATGGATTAAAAGCTTAAATCTTTATTTTGGTTTAAACTTCCTCTCAGCCCACAGGATATCTCAGTCCTTGGACCTCACCCCAGGGACAGGGAGGAGATTTTTTTTTCTTTTAAATTAATTGATTGGATGTAGGTTTAAGGACTGTGTGAACAGCCTTCTTCACATAAAATGATGAAAGCACCATTGACCCGGGCTCTGAGGCTGCTGGAGAGCGTTTAGCAGGAAGACATTGCAAAGACCCGAAGTCCCCGAGGGGTTATAAAAGGCCTGCTTTACCCACCCAAAGGCTGGAAAACGTTTTATCTTCTCGAGTCCAAAAAAGACATCTGATTTTGTGTGCCCAAGGCGAAATAATCTCATATGGCCATAAGTGTGCAAAATGACTTTTCCTTTTGTTCCAACTACTTGCTGTGGAATAGCTGAGCTTTTTCTCACATAGATAGGAAGGTAGAAAACATAGTATAAAAAGCTCGCGTTTCTTACCACCTGGAATTAACACAGAACATTTCTGTTACGTTCAGTCTTTTTGTTTTTGCAACAAAATGAAACATTACAGATTAACCTTCGGTGACATGTGACTTCATGTCCCAACGTTGTCCCCATCACCACATGAGTTTGTAGGTAACCATTCAATTAAGTCTTCATTTTCTTTGCGCATATTTATGTATCTACAACCAATATAGAATACTGGTTTGGGACGGGGTTATTGCTTTCAGTTTGTATGAGTGATTTTTTTTTTTAATGTTTATTTATTTTTGAGAGAGAGAGAAAGACGGAGCACGTGCAGGGGAGGGGCAGAGAGAGACAGAGACCCAGAATCCGAAGCAGGCTCCAGGCTCTGAGCTGTTAGCACAGAGCCCGATGTGGGGCTCGAACTCAGGAACCGTGAGATCATGACCTGAGCTGAAGTCAGACGCTCAACCGACTGAGCCCCCCGGGCGCCCCTGTGTGAATGATATTATACATATTGATCTACATGTTCATTTTTCCAGTTCACATTATTTCTCAAACATATCCATGTTCCTATAGATAGATCTAGTGCCTTCTTTTTGATAACTCAAGAGTGAACGTGCCTTATTTTATTGGTCAGTTTCCCTATTACTTCGTCTTGCCATTACAAGCAATATTGCAATGAACGTCCTTATAGGTGTTTCCTTGTGCAAATGTGTGATGGCTTCTCCCTGTTACGTACCAGAAATAGAATTGCCAGTTTGTACAATACACACATTCTCAGCTTTTTAAGAGCCTACCAAAGGCTTTCTATTGATTTGCCCTCCTACCAGAGGTATCTTAGACTGTTAGGAAGCCATTTCTCTCCGTATACAAAAGTTAGGTCATCCGGAATCATCTAAACTCAAACTCCCTACAGCCTTTCATCATGCTCCAAGCCCAAACCCTTAACGATGGCCAACCAAGCTCTACGATCAACCCTTCCCCATCTCCTACCTCACTCTCATGCCTAACTGCTCATTCTGCTCTAGCCATACTGGTTTTTTTGCTATTTCTTGACATTCTAAGTTTGCTCCTGCCTCGGAGTTTTTGCACTTGCTTTTTCATCAGACTAACGGTCTTCAGTCAGAGTTTTTCAGGGTTGGCGTTGTGATTTCTCTCAGACCTCTGCTAAAATATGCCACTAGTGAAGATGCCTTGGACCACCCACCCCTCCTCCCAATGCCATTCTGCTGTTCACTACCTTCTTACTTCATTTTATTTTTATTTCTAGTACTTCTCACTATCTGACATTATATTATTTTCGTTTTATTTATTGCCCTATCAGTAAAATGTGACCTTTGTGAGGCTTTGTTTCTTTTGTTTCCTGCTGTAACTCCATAATCAGAATAATGCCAGAATAATAAATGCGTACTAAAGGTTGAGTGAATAAGCATAATTCTGGAAAGTCAGGGATGGAGGGATGGTTTGTGGGTAGGTAGAGGGACGTTAAGCAGCTTTTGCTCTCCCTCTTGCCTCACACTCTTGTATTGAAATACGTTTTGCATGTGACAGTGAAGACAATATTCAGAAAAGACTAGAGAGAAGATATGGGAATATTGGAATCTGATACCAGCATGAACTTTTTTTTTTTTTTTTTGAGCTAGGTTTAAAGCAGGACATTGCCTGCCTAGCATGGTGGGGTAGATGCTATGTTTCCATAAACTATCCTTAATTTGTATGAGTCAGACCGGTCTCTGTTTTTATTTAAATTACCGACAAAAGGCTTTGACCAATGGTGAATGGCCGAGGAAGATATATTAGTTAACAATCGCTGTGTAACAAATTATTCCACAATGTAGTTGTTTGACACACATTTATTAGCTCGCAAATTCTGTGGCTCGGGAAGCTGGGAAGGCTTAGCCAGCTCCTCTGCTTCAGGATCTCTACAGGCTGCAAGCAAAGTATCGGTCAGGGCTGCAATTATCTCAGGGCTCAAGTAGAGAAAGAGCCCCTTTCAAGCTGACTCATGTCGTTGTTGGTAGGACTCAGTTCCTAGCGGACTGTTGGCAGGAAGCATCAGTTTTATGCTAACTGTTGGCCAGAGGCTAACCTCAGCTCCTTACCACTTGGGCCTCTCCGACATAGCAGCTTGCTTCATTGAGACAAGCAAGCCAAGAAAGCAAGAAAGAATATAAGCAAGATGGTGGTCATAGGTTTTTATAATCTCATCTGGGAATTGATATCCTGTCACTTTTTGCCATATTCTCCTCCCTAGAAGCAACTCACTAGTTATAGTAAAGGAGTGGGGGTTGTACAAGGGAGTGATACCATGAGGTGGGAAACTAGGGGGCCATTTTGGAAGCTGCTTACCACAGAAGGATAACAAGAGGAGGGAATATACGGAAAGAGTGAATAAAAGTGGCTGAGTCAGTAATGTTCATTCCTTCTCCTAAACTCATCCATCAGATACTCTGCTCCGATAACCTAGTACCTAAGGGAATAGTATGTAAGAAAGACAAAAGAGGCCAGAGGTATTCCTCCCATATGTTTGCCTCCAGGAGAATGAAAAGGTGGGGAATGCGTGTCCCCTTCTAGGCTGGAGCCTGCAGTAGTTCTAGGGACTCAGCAATGCCAAGACCCAAGGATTCCCTGCACACTCAGACCAACCTAGAGTCCAATGGTATTTGAGTGTGCTAAGTAGGTACTGAGGAACAAGTGGTTTAGGAAGTTAAAAGTGAAATGTGAGGCAGGTCATATCCTATAGTCTCTTGCCCTTTGAATTGGACTCCATCATTAGTTTGCCATGTTCAGTGTCCTACTAAACAATAGACTTTAAAAACGATGCACACACAGCCCTAAATTTGCTGAGCTATTCTCATACTCAGCCGAAGCTCATTTCAGAGCATTCAGACTGTACCACAATTAGCTGCTGACACTATCCTAAAATAATATAAAGCCAGGCCAGTAATTATACACTGGAAGAAACTATGTATAGAAAAGCTCATTAACTTGTGGGGTGGTGCGACTTTCTGAAGTGGGAACATTTCGAACAGGATATAGTGCTCATGTTGGTACGGGTGAAAATCCAATTGCAAATCCTTAGCTTAGTATTTAACAACATCCTGTTCAGAAAGCATCAATCAGGTCTTCAGGATTTATGGGTGGATTAAAAGGGTCACGTCTTTCTCAAGTTTCCCTGTAGGTGGCACTGTCAGAGTACTCAAGGGAATTACTACACTAACCTTGCCGCCTTAAAAGCTGACCAATCACTCATCAGAGTCACTATCCGGGTCACCACCACCACCACCACCACCATCATCATCGTCATGTTTACAGTCATTATTAGCATCGCTCATTTATGAACGAATTGCATGTAGGGTCGCTCTAGATCACATCTTCCTCTGTTCTGTAACCGCAGGCTTCTACGCCAAGGGAGGCTAATCTCACAGGTGTGTGCATTTAGCTTTGGGTTTCCCTCTTCTGCGCCTTAGCTCCTGTGGTGTCCCTTGGCCGGGATGTCCTGCCATGCTCCTCCCTGCCTTGGTGGAGGGGGTGTCCTGCATGAGTCAACACTTCTCCACTCAGCTTCCTGAGATACAGTTCAGGGACGGCTTCTGTCCACCACACAATCTTTGTCTAAAGGAGCTTTATCCTGCTTCCTTGCCACTTTCTCACCCTCGTGAGATCTTTGCCTCTCCCTTCTTATGTTGGAGTCTAAAATAAGACTTAAGCAACTGTCCTCTAGGGGCTTCCTTTTGCTGACAGCCAATGCCCACCCAGCTCTCCGGAGTGGCAGGTAGCTCCTGACCACCTTTGTTTATTGTCTGACTGTAAACACCTGCCTCTCCTCTGTACGCTGATACTTTTTTGGGTCACTCTCTTGACATCGCTTGTGAGCTCCTAGAATTCGGGGACTTTGTCTTACTTTCTGTTATGTTCCTGAAGTTGAACACAAGTTCCCAACAAATGCTCGTTGAATGCGTGAGTGAAAGAAGGAGAAGATTAAGTAAAAAGCCCCATAAGGCACTTTATGAAAGGTAGGGATGCACAGAGGAAGAGAAATTTCTAATCTTATGGTCACTGAAAAGCTTTACCTTGACTTTGGGGACCTATCTTGGGGCAAGAAGGGAGAAGCTAGGAGGAAGCCTGTCTTTAAAAAAAAAAAAAAATTTTTTTTAATGTTTATTTATTTTTGAGAGAGACAGAGAGAGACAGAGCACGAGCAGGGAAGGAGCAGAGAGAGAGGGAGACACAGAATCGGAAACAGGCTCCAGGCTCTGAGCTGTCAGCACAGAGCCCGATGCGGGGCTCAAACTCACAAACCGTGAGATCATGACCTGAGCCGAAGTCGGTCGTTCAACCGACTGAGCCACCCAGGCGCCCCAGGAAGCCCATCTTTTGAGAAAAGAGTGTTATATTATCCTCTCTTGAGCATGTTGGATATCACCCCTCAGAAATTTTCACCCTTTTTTTTGGTTTTTGCTTTTTTTCGGACAGAGCCCTGAATTTATGGCTCCTTCCTAATCCTAGAGGCCAATCATGATGAACTGAAGTGACAGTCTCACTTACATTGCTAGGGAAGAGTTTAGGCCTGAATTCTGGCTGATGAGATCTGAGGGGTATTCTTTTTAGAGAGTTTAGTCTTCACTAAAACAAAGCAAATCTTGGGAGCAAACCGCTCTTATTCTTGACTACATGTTGTTGGGTGGATGTGTCACACCCGGAATATCTGCAGCCATCTTGTGGTCCAGAAAGGAGACTTTGTTTTCACGCCAGTGAGATGGAAAGCCCCGTGCTTTTAGGGACATGGGGGAGTCATGGATTTACCTGGCTTTGAAACCGCCTTTCTTCTGGACTTACTGTGAAATAATAAATCTCTTCTTTAAAATTTTTTTTTCAACGTTTATTTATTTTGGGGACAGAGAGAGACAGAGCATGAATGGGGGAGGGGCAGAGAGAGAGGGAGACACAGAATCGGAAACAGGCTCCAGGCTCTGAGCCATCAGCCCAGAGCCTGACGCGGGGCTCGAACTCACGGACCGTGAGATCGTGACCTGGCTGAAGTCGGACGCTTAACCGACTGCGCCACCCAGGTGCCCCTAAATCTCTTCTTTAAATGTCTATTAACGGGGTCTACTCTTTCTTACAGCCACGAGTATCCTAAGTGACACAGCTCAGTCTTCTGTAGTGTTGTTCTTGTAGAATGTACCGGATAGCTTCCCTTCGCCCTTCTGGATCCACTTCCTCCCTTTCCCGTCCTGCTCTCCGCTCTGAATGGCTGACCTATATTGACTATCTCTGTCTTCTCATCCTACCAAGAAGGGTAATAACCAGCACCTTTTGGAGCTTGCAAATTGTATGTCAACATATTTTTTCCAGGTCTGCCCACCAAGTATCATGTGATCTGTAATGGCCTTTTTAATTTTGCCCAAGGCTGACTCCAAATCTGGTGGCTTGTCATTTGATTCCATGTGTCAGTCAGGGTCGCAACAGGACACAGGTGGCTCATTCAAAGGTGGGTAATTCAGGGAAGTTTACTTACAAAGGTGTGGGCAGGGTGGTGGGCCACTGCAAGGTTCATCGGAGTTAGTGAACCAGCTCTCCGCTAGTATCCAACACCAGCAGATTCAAATCCAAAATCAGTTAGAAACCTAGTTCCTCCTGGAATGGTGTTGGATCAAATGTCGCCCACACTTCCTCTCAGCCAGATTCTCCTTTTTCTTTTAGAAGGATTTCAAGTTATACTTCTTCTGGAAAGTTTCCCTAGTCTTGACTACTTCCTGAGCCTTTACTTAGAGTTACACTATATTGTTATTAATACCCAATACATATTATTCTGGAGAAGAGAGAACACGTCTGATACTTAGAAGACCTATCATTACCGAGAAATGTCATCACTGTAACATATACCATACTTCACTATGATTACTTTTATGATGGTCAAATATACATAAAATTTACCATTTTAACCATCTTAAGAGTGCAGGTCTGTGGCATTAAGTACATTTATATTGTTGTGTAACCGTCACTACCCTCTGTCTCCAGAACCCTTTCATTCTCCCAGACTGAAACTCTGTACCATTAAACACTAACTTCTCATTTCCACTCTTCTGCTGAGCCCTCAGGCTACTGTTCTACTACTGTCTATTTGACTTTCTGTCTCTATGAATTTGACTATTCTAGGTACCTCATGTAAACAGAATCATACAATATCTGTCCTTTTGTGTCTGTTTTATTTCACAGAGCATAATGTCTTCAAGGTTCGTAATGTGTCAGAATTTCTTTCCTTTTTAAGGCTGAACGATATCCCATTATATGTATATACCATGTTTTGCTTATCCATCCATCCACTGCTGGGCATTTTATTATGATTATTTTTAAAACAACCTTCCTTACTGAGGTACAACACACATACAGAAAAAGTACACCAAAGTATACAATTTGGTACATTTTCATAAAGTGAGCAAATGCGTGCGATTGCTACTCAGATTGAGAAACAGAACATCATCACAGCCTAGAAGCCCCCTTTGAGCCCCTCTCAGTCAGCCACTACTGAAATGTAGCCACGGCCCTGACTTCTGTCACCTTGGATTACTTTTGCCTGTTTTCAATGATTGGAATTACATATTTCCAATAATATATAATTATTCTTTTGGGCCTGATTTCTGTTACTCAACATGACATTTACGAGATTTTTCCATCTTGTATGTGTAGCAGTAGTTTGTTCATTTTTATCGCTGCGTCGTGCTTCATTGCTTGATGCTGTGATTTGCATACAATAGTTTTATTCATCTATTCTACCATTGATGGACTTTTGGGTAATTTCTTTTTTAGGTTGAATATGTTTACAGACACTTTGTATCTACCTTTTGGTGCGCACGTGTATTTTGCTGGATACATACATACAAAGACATGCGCACACACACAGGAGTGGAATTTCAGGGTCCTAGGGGATATGTAGGTTCAGTCTTAATGAATACTGACAAAGAGTTTTCCAAAGTGGTCGCACCACTTCATGGTCTCATCGGCAGGGGTGTATAGAGTTCTAATTTCTCTATATCTTCATTGACACTTGAAATTGACAGTCTTAAATTTCTACATTTGGGTGGTTGATATTTCATATATATATATATATATATATAT